GTGACTGCCCCAGATGACAGCGCGGCTCGCTCCGCCTCCCCCTGCCACCTCAGTTCCTCCCGCAGTCAGCTGCCGTCCTGCAATGGCTGGAAAGGCCCCAGGCTGCTACCGAGCCTGATGGGCCACTGGTGTGCCTCGGGTCAGAGCAAGGGCTGCCAACCCGCCACGGTGCCCTGGCAGAACCAGGCCCCCAGGCCCCGCGCGTTTCCCCCACCTGCCAATCAGTGTCTGTCAGCAGCCTCCCCAGAACAGCGGTGAGCGCCCATCGAGTCCAGCTCCCCGTGTCCACTCACCACGCCACAGAGGACAACAGGGAGGCCGGAGAGGAACAGACCTGCCCAGAGGTCAAGGCCAGCCAGGCCTGAACTGGGAGGGAGCCGGCCCAGGGCTCACTTCATTCCGTCTGCTCGCAGGTGGACAGCGCTTTGGAAGTCAGTCACCCGACTCCAGACAGCACCTCGACACGGAAAAGTCCCAGGGGTGGGCTCTAACCAGGAATCAAAAACCCAGGAAGGCCAGGCACAGGGCGCACCCCTGTGATCCCAGCAGCTCTGGGGGCTGAGGCAGGAGGATCGGGAGTTCAAGGCCAGCCTCAGCAACTTAGTGAGACTCTGTCTCGAAATGAAATATAAGAAAAGGGCCGGGATGTGGCTCAGGGGTTGAGCACCCTGGTTCGACGCCTGGTACCCAAAACGCACCACAAGATAACCCTCAGGGACAGCGCGAAGACCCAGAGAGAGGACGGTCACAAGTGGAAGGCGTCTGAAGGATGGATGCCCACGGATGGTGCGGACCCGCGGCAGTGGCCGTCAGATGAACGGACAGGGTGGGGTGAAGGGTGAGCATCGGATGGACAGGGGATGGAGTGCTGGCGGGTGGGCCCTGGACCGGCGGGGGGACTGGGTGGGCAGTGCACAGCTGGCAGGGGCAGCTGAGGGGGAGGACACGCACAGGGGCCGTGAGATGGCCACGAGGGGTGACCGAGCAGACCAAGGGACGAGGCCTGGACCCACGTAACCAGGGCCAGGCGCCTCGATCCCAGGGCCAGCTGTCGCAGCCCTCCCCTGACTCCCGGCCGTCCTGCAGGCACCTGATCCCAGCCTCTCTCCACAGAGCCCCGGGGCCACTGCGGCTCCAGGGACCCAGGGAAAGACGAGGTTGGAAGCCCCGGGGCCCGAGCGCCAGGGCCAGGCCACCGACAACCGCCCGGGCACACGCCGCAGCCTGGACGGGGCTTTCAGTCCCTGGCGCCCTGCGCTCCCCCCGGGGGCTGCTCTCAGAGGAGCAAGGTGTGCAGACCCCTGATCCCCAGGCTGCTGCAGCTTGGGACAGTGTCACTGGTGACTCCTGAAATCGCTCTCGACACAGCAAACCCAGGGAGCCGGGTCTGCACCGGCCACAGCCCTCAGGCCAGACGGGGCCTGACCCCCACAGCCCGGGCACCCCAGAGAGCTTCGTGGCTCTCGCTGCTCCCTATCGAAGCCCTCAGGACCCAAGGCAAATCCTTGGGGACCTCCTGGGACCTCCTGCACCCAGCACCCAGCTCTGCAGCCGGCCGGCTGCCCACCTTGGCCCCGGCGGGGTCCTTGGACGCCCCACATCGGCCACTCTCTTCTCTGAATAAAAAATGGAACTCGGTCCCACTCAGCAAATGCTCTCAGCTCAGGAAGCCAGCGGTCACCATGCTGGGACCAGGCCCTAGTTCCCATCATGAATGTGGAAACAGAAGCCAGGAAGGTGACGTTATTGGCCAAAGTGACATCTGTGTGTCAGTGGCCAGGGACCCACACACGGGTGTCCCCATCTCCCCACAGCATGCCAGTTCTCTTGGAGAAAGGGACAGTGTGGGGCTGGGTGCCGGGGCGCACGCCCATAAT